TGAGTAGAAATCCAAAAAATGTTAGTCTCCTTTATTAAATTTAAATTAAACTAATATTTTTTGGATCACTACGTGCCCCAAACCGCGTATTCTGTTGGTAAGCAGTCCGTACTGATTCACATAACAAGCTAAGATTTCCACGTGATTTATTTATTTTTTATTAAAGTTGATTAAAAAAACCATTAATATATATTTAAATTTTAATATAAATATTTACAACAAATTAATAATGATATTAAAAGTTCAACTTACTTCTCAACGAACTCCACAATCGCGATGAAAAGAATTAACTAACCCAAATAAAATTTGTTTATTTATTATTACACCGTTTTTTTATTATAGATTACATCAAAGATAACATTTTATTCTCATAATACAATAATCCATTTAATATTTTAATCATAAATCAATAACAAAATGGAAAATAATCTAAAAGTATACGGAACTTGACCGTTACACAATATCTCAATGACAAGGAATTTATTTCATATCTAGTATAATAAACAAGGCAATAAATATATTTGAAACTTACTTCATATTAATCTATTATGGAGAAATAGAAAATACAAATAATCAGTTATAAAGAATTTTAATATCCCTACTAATATTATAAATGCGAAAGTAACTCTGTCTGTCTGTTAAGCTTTCACGCCTAAACCAGTGAACTGATTTAAATGAAATTTGGTACGGAGATAGAGTTGACCTTGAGAAAGAACATAGGATAGTTTTTATACCAGACTTTTGAAAGGTTCTCTTGGAAACGCGATATAACCGAACTCCACGCGGGCGAAGTTGCGGGCGGAAAGCTAGTATAAATATAATTTGAATATGTAGTTATTTTTGTTACAGTTTTTTAACTATAAATATTCTTTGTAACTCACCTACGCTCAAATCCTAGACATATTTACAGTCTTAATAATAATTAACAATAAGTATTTTATTTACTAAATTAAAAATGTGTTTTAATAGAATGGATTTTAATAAAAAGATTTAATAGATTAATGATTAATGCATTCCCGAAGAGGGTTAAAGTCAGGCAGGCGGCCGGTCGTAAAAATAAATAGCCAAAACTATTCACAACATGTAAGGTAGACCCTGGCTAATACTGGAAAATTGCTAGGTAGAAGAAGTTTAATAGAAACCCTTAATTTATTAACAAAAAACATGCATATGTAAAGAACATGTTATTATAATATTCTAAAACCGACTGTTATTACTCATGCTGTTACCACCACAGTTTTTATTAAAAATCTTCTTTGAAAATAGATTTGTAATGAAAATAATGACAAAAATAATATGCATTATTTTAATTTAGTGATTATAATGACAAATTTCATGCACTTAATGTAGTAATATGTCAAAAATGACTTACATCTTTTTGGATACAACTGTAACCTCTTCACAACTGGACCGATATTAACCAAACATAACTAAGAACTAGGACACTGGCTCACAAATTATAAAAACCTAATCGAAATTAGAAGATCCATTTGACAGTCACCCTGTCTCAGATACAAAGACGTCGCGTCAAATTTAAAACTACCCTCTTTTTGTATAAGACGTAATGATATTAATTTCAACGTCACTCATTCGTATATATATAAAAAAATGGTTATTCTTCTTCTACCTGGCAATTTCCTAGCTTTAGCCAGGGTCTGCCTTACATGTTGTGAATAGTTTTGGCTAATTGTTATTACGACCGGTCGCCTGCCTGACATCAACCCTCTTTGGGAATGCATTAATCAATGAAATCTAAATACTGTTAAAAAGTACATGACTCGGAAAAATCACATTGGTACTTGCCAGGATCGAACCCGCGCCCTCGGCAACGAGAGGCGGGCCGTTTAACCACTAGGCCACCACTGACTTAACTTACCACTTATTGTATACTTCAATTAATAATAAGAAGTGAAACAGAAGAAATGGACCTGTACATATACGCGAAGTTAGCATATTCACACAACACACGAAGTTTTTCCCGTTTTTCATTCAATAATATGTTCAGTGGCGGCGTAAGGCGTGGGCGACGTGGGCCATCGCCTACCGCCTCGCGGTACAAGGGGCCTCGCGCCTCAAAAAATTTTAAATTAAAAAAAAAATATCTTCTTCCTGGTAATTTCCCAGCTATGGCCAGGGTCTGCTTTACATGTTGTGAATAGTTTTGGCTATTTGTTTTTACGACCGGTCGTCTGCCTGACATCAACCCTCTTTGGGAATCAGAATTAATTAAACCTATTTTGATAAGAATACTTAGTGTGTTTAATGTTTTAATAATATTTAGCGAATAAATAGATAGTGTTTAAGTATATTGATTACCCCCGAAAGCAGTGACGTTTTTTAATTGTTTTTGTTTTCCTTTTGATTTATAATGCACCAGTACCTGTACTCGTCTCTTTTACATAAAGTATAGTCCGTTAGATTTAAGCTGAGCTTTGTATTTGTGTGAGTGAAAGTAAAAGAAACGTTAGACACAAAACCTTTTGGAATTAAATTTTATTATATTTAAATAGATACATAACATAAGCGCGAGAGTTATTCTAGATAAAAAAATAATAAGGAAAACATGTAAAAGACTAAATTGAAATATTATGGAAAAAAATTAAGAAATAAAAATTTTGAAAAAACAATACATATTTATCTTCACTTGACATTGCGTTTTCAACATTTGACGTTGCTACCAGTACAAAAGGTGAAGTGTGGAAGGTGCGGGGCGGAGTAAAAGCAGGATAAACCGGTTTAAAACTAGAAAAGAAAGTGTCATTCAAAAATTTGACATCACACCTACACTATCCGCTTGCACTCACACAAATGCAAAGCTCAGCTTAAATCAAACGCACTAAAACAAATATTTAATTGGTGATAAGTACGTAACGCAGTAATTATTTGTCTATAAAATACGCTTTATAATATCTTTTGAAGGAAACCAAAGCTTTAAGTGCAAAAAACGCATAGACGTTTAAGTTTTTAAAACTATCTGGTAGTAAGAGCTTCAGGTTGCCATAGAATAGGGCCTCGCGAAATCTGTCTTGCCCACATCAAATTTAGGTCTTGCCCCGCCACTGAATATGTTCATATTATTTTCAAAGAAATATAAAAAATATAGTTAATATAGTTCGTGGAGTCCCTCTTAGAAAAAGTGAATAATAATGTGGAAATGATAATAGGAAGCGGTATGTACAAATTGTTTTTAAGTAAATTATATAGGGTGGCAACCGGAGGTTTCAGGAAAACTACGAAACATACTTATATGTGCATTAAAATAAGAATTACATATTAAAACTTATAGCCTACACCTAAGACTACATGATTGACCCGATGTTAGGATAGCAATACCATTCCATAGCTTGTGTGTATCAGGAATCTTCTGGCTCACACGGCTTGGTGTTGGTTCCATGGAGTCAGCGGCATTACTCGTTATATAATATTTTACCGATACAACGATGTCGCCCCGGCGATGTTCATTTTTTTTTATATGTAGCGCGTACGTAACAAGTAAACTCATATTGTTTTAAGGCAAACTTTATAAACATTGCTTGCAATTCACAATTGACCCATTTACTATTCCCCTCCCCAGTAGCGTTGAAAGTTTAACGCAACCTTGTTTAAAGTCGTGATAGAAGTTTCACTTCAGAAACTGAAAACAATCCGTATGTAGAGTGAAAATGAAATTTATACTATAATGAAATATGGGACTTATTCCATTATTTTAATTAATTATTATCAATACTTTATTAATAATTCCAATATTGCATAACTATTTTATTTTTGCATATTAAATCATACGACCGTCTTCACTACTCATTTCTTATTATTTCTCGAATGATTTCATGTGTAGTAACCAAGTAACTTAAAATGCTTAGCACAAGTGCGCGTCGACATATACGACGACGTCGACATATACTATATACGACGAATTTCCCGTTTTTTACGCAGTAACCTACGTTAATACTGTAATATGAAAAGATTTATGAATGAAAAACTGTTAAAACCCCGTATATAAGTGACTGCAAACTTAAGGTAAGCGAATTCTTCATTGTTCTTAGTTTCAGATGGTAATAATAATAATTACAAATTAAATAATGATTATAACACAGTTTATGGTAAGTTAATTTGGTATAATATAATCATATGTATAAAAATAAATCGCCAACCCGTCTTGAGCAAGCGTGGTGATTAATGCTCAAACCTTCTCCATGTGAGAAGACGCAGCTCAACAGTGGGCTCTGATAGGCTGATGATGATGATGATGCATTAAAATATATAGATAAATGTGAACTCTTATTATTATTATTTTAAATTATAATTTGTGTTAAATTTGCGTGAGAAAAGGACATTTATTTGCTAGTTACATAACTGATAACGTAACTTTTTTAAATGCAAATTAAAAAAACATTACTTGTAATAGATTCATCGATAATGTCGACACACTGTGAAGAAATACTGGTTTTTAATCTATAGTATATTCCAGACGCCTGTACAAATGCCGCAGGGGCAAAAGGGGCTAAGCAGACGGCCTACCTGATGGAAGTAGCTACCGTCAACATAGTTTTTGGATGCATTGTACCATTGATGGTGTGAGAGGGAGAGAAGAGGTGGGAAAGGACAACCGTCTCTCTCACTCATCGAAGCACAGCCATTAAAGACTATTTCACGCTGATCTTCTGTGAGAGGGTGGTACTTCCCCAGTCGAGACAGCCCATGTTCGAGCTGTAGTAACTTGACCACAGACAGGCTATACCATCTATAAAAACTAATAGAGAAACTAATACTATGTAACGTCCCTCTTTAAGGAGGAGAGGAGTAAAGAATGTATGCTAATACGATGGACAGATTCAGTTGAGAAGATCGCACCTAAGAAGATGCAGGTCAATATTCACCTGGCTCAGAATGCAGAAGCCTGGATATCTGTGGTGGCAAAAGCAATTCAGGATCACGTTCTTCATCCATCACACGACGAAAGACAAAATAAGACGAGAGTATAATAAAAAGCATTTAATATATCACCTAACAATAGCTTTCGCGAAAGTCACATTATTTATACATTTCTGTTGCTTCTTTTTTGTTTTCTTGGACAAAATATCGTTTCCTGGATACAGGCCACAGCATTTTGTTGTTATGGAGAAAGTGCTCAATTTCTCCGCTACTTTTATATCGTTGTTTTGTTCTGAAAACTTGCTCGAACAGCACGAAATAGCTGATATAGATTCTGGATGGGATAGATTCCATCTTTTTTCTGTGTAATTCTTTTTCATTCTACCATATATGTCTATATGTTCAATCGTATTTAGAAATCCACATCTACTATATCTATCTTCTATGTTTTCTGTATATCCTTCTGGCTTATTTCCGCCATTTTTAGCCATTATTTAAGATAAATAAACATCAATACACTAGATAATTTTGACAGCATCCAACATCTTTACCAAAAGCGAATAAGTCATGTCTAAGTAATGAAAAAAATATTCCATTTTCAATATTTACGTAAAATATATTGTTAATCTGTTTCTAATAAAAATGAAAAAATATTTGAGACTTTAATTTTAATCTGTGTCTACTTAAGATAAATTCTTTTTGAAAATATCCTAATAACTATAGTTCAGAAGCTTATTGAGTACGACTACATTTCTTTCAGATTACCAGATAGGCTATGTAAAATACACATTTTCCAATATACGGCCAAATATTTATTCTTTTACTTAACTTATTAAATATAATGCACTCTACATTTAAAATTGAATAATAATAGTATATTATTCGGAAGACTTAAACTTTTGGCTTAATATTAATTACAATAGTAAAGATATCTTTCTATATAAAAGCAGTAAACTCAACATTTTTTTTATGCTATGCTTCATTTGCACTGGAGTCTTGTAACATTCTACCAATGTCAACTTTTTTATTTAATGAATCATATTATTGGAGAAATCTATAAGGAAACGTCACTAAAGAAGTACAATCATAAGTTTCAGAAACGCCATCTCTGAACGGGCGGAGTGAATCCGGTAAGTAGTCTCAATTTTTTCATACTTTATACATATAAATATATCCTACATCTGGTTTATCTAGCTCAAGTCCGTGACTTTGTCTACGTCATTTATTATATAAATAAAATTATTATATGTCCAACTACAGTTAAACCATCACTGAACACTTGTGGCTCATAAAATTATATTTCTCTTAAAACTGACAAATTTATATTCCTTCAATTTAATAAATTAATAACTTCCATATATATATATATCTGTTTCTATATATATATATATATATATTTGCATAAGCAGAGTTGCAGATATGAAATAAATAAACAAACAAATCAAATTCATAATATTTTATTAATATAATATATTCTAGGACATTTATACTAGCTTAAAATACGATTGGCTTTAAAACTATGGACACTTAGAAGACGTGAAAAACAGAGAAAAATATACAGAGTTCCTATTAATACTTGGAAATACTTTCGGTTCACAAAAATTACCGCCATCTGGCGATGTAAAGGTAAAAAAACACTATTTGTTTAATAAATAATCGATTTCATGATCTTCGTTCATCCACCCCCACTCCCGTCTCTAACCAGCTGGTACGTTATCAGGTATTCTGGATAAGCCTGGAAAAGATATTTATTATGAATTTTTAATAGTTTTATTATGAACTAGCTGCGCCCCGCGGTGTTACCCGCGGATTATCAGGTCGAACATTTTCCGGGATGTAAAGTAGCCTATGTGTTATTCCTGGACGTCAGCTTCCTGTATACAAAATTTTATCAAAATCCGTTCAGCCGTATGAGCGTGAAGAAGTAATAAACATACACACACTCACAAACTTTCGCAATTATAATATTAGTAGGATAATTTTTCTATATTAAATAAACTTTAAAGTCATTCATTTTAAATGCAAACTAAATGAAGTTAATTTTAGAGCCTAGCCCACAACGCCGCTCAAATGTTGGTCATTACTTAACATATATGTATTTTTGACAGCCTTCTCACACTTTCACTACACCCACCATATTTGAGCGGATCACATATTAAAATTCAATCGGGAATCGAACCCAGATATCATTACACGGACCAATATTACCAGCACAAGTATATACTAGCAATAACGAGCGTAGTTCGTTCGCTGAGCTCTGACGTCATTGATAATGACGTCACATCTCAGTAGGTGCCGCTGTTCTATGACGTCACAGCTCAGTTAATACCGGCTGGTTGTCCTCTCTGTTGTGTGACGTCAGAGCTCATCTTGAGTGTCTGCTAGTCTACGTGTTCTGTGACGTCAGAGCTCAGTTAATACTGGCTGGTTGTCCTGTCTATTCTGTGACGTCACACCTCAGCCAGTGGTTGCCGGCTGTCCACTGTGACGTCACAGTTCAGTGGACGATTGCTGTCTGTTCTATGACGTCAGAGCTCAATCAACACTGGCTGGTCGTCCTCTCTGTTCTGTGACGTCACAGCTCACCTAACGCCGGCCGGTCGTCAGTGAGGTCACTTCCCCCTCTCACCTGTTCCCCTCGGTAGACCACGTGCTCGGGGAAGCACAGCCCGCCGGCGGCCGGGGAGCCCGCCACGCTGTGATGCCCCGGCGGGGCGTGTGCCATCTTCATTGCGCTTGACAGACTGAAGCTTCGGCCTAGCGTCACGCGACATAGGAGCATCTGTCTGTGAATGGAAATATATATTCTAGTACATTATATGTGAGATGATCGTGTATACATTTGTATGAGGCTAAGCTTTTCGAATACTAGAGGTTTTTATTAGATAGGGGTCCCTTAAACCTACACCTGGGTCGCAAGTCCCAGTCACTGTTGAAGCTCCTCTCACTACAACGATGGACCCGACACATGCATAATGAATACATTGAATGATGAGAAGTTTACTCTTTATATAATGTATATTTGTAATTTGTTGTGAATATTTTTACTATATATATTTTTTTATAATGCAAGGTCCTATTTGTACTAATGCACTCCATGTCAAAATAACCGTGGAAACTGTGATGACAAATTGTTTTAAACTTATAAAATAATTATTGTTTATAAAAAGTATGTTTTCCCATAAATAAATAAGTAATCCTTATTTCGGTTCTTCACATCAACCGTGATCACGGACAGACGAAATGAATGTGTCTAGTCTAGATCATGTAGATATATAATATTAAAAAAAGTAGTATATGAAAAACATAATTTCATTTAAATGTACTTATGCAGATTTGTGGAGTATTTTAGGACTTAGAGTTTAGAGACGTACAGAAGTATTGATGATGACGTTACTATCATGAAAATATTGTTGCAAAGTAATGTTTGTTACACAAAACAGATAAACTGACAGTGTGACGTTAACTTTAGGACAACTGAAACAAATACTAAGATTATTCAGTACCAATCCTATCTTAACAATTTCGACTTTTGTGAATATGTATGTATGTTTGTAACGGTATCATACAAAAACTACTGGATCGATTTTAATGAGAATTTGTAATAATATAGCTAACATATCGGAGTAGGTTATAGGATATAATTTTTTATTACATCGCGTTCAGTTTGCGAGATCAGGGGATGATAGTTTCATCATAGATGTCGCTACTTGCTCGTCATGGTGTGTGTGTGTGTGTGTGTGTGTGTGTGTGTGTGTGTGTGTGTGTGTGTGTGTGTGTGTGTGTGTGTGTGTGTACCTGTGACACACGTAGCAGCTCCTGTCTCTGTGCGCCACACAGCCGGAGCCTCCTCCGAAGCCGTACACGTACTGGTTGCTCTTAGACGAGTGCTCCGCGAAGTAGATGCCCGCGCCGAACATGCCGCCTGACAAACAGACATAATAATTAGAACTGTATAGCCGACCAGGCGAACTGTTTCGAATTAGGGACAGTAAATAAACAGAATTTGGATTTTATTAACAAACTTTTTTAATCGGTCGAATTCAAAAGCATCTTATTAGAGGCTTAGTGCCTAATATTTTTATTTTATTTGAAACTGTTTCTTTTGGTCGCACGAATTCAAAAGTATCCTGTCCTTTCTATATTCTAATCTACCTTTCTACCAAATCAACCAAAGTTCTAAGCCGTTATTGAGTTATAAATAGTGTAACTAACACGACTTTCTTTTACATATATGTATATATATTACCTATATAAGCGTGTCGTTCATCGAATCCTTTCTGTACTATAGCGTTAATGAATGGCGACCCGTGGAATAACATCCTCTCATTAGCTCCGCCCGCCTCCTCACACACCTCGCGTCTCCGATGTTGGTAACGCTCCCAAAGACGACCGTTTACTATTTTTTGTATCTGGAAAAAAATTTATATATATGAGAAAGTTTGGAGATTATTTTGTATAAAAAATTTGGAGTTTAATATATAAGATATATATCTATATGTATATTTAGGATTGTAACAAAATTATTAAAAAAAATATTTATATAAAGTTGTCTCATAAACATTTTCAATTTAGATAAGAAATCAGATCTTTAGTAGAATAAACTAATTATTATCTTAAACCAAAACACTTTAAATAAGTTTAATTTACAAACACCCAAGTCTCGTCTACAAATACTTTCCCTCGTAAAAGTGAACAAACCAAACGTCATCTGTTTAACGTCACTTCGGGTGCATTCCGGAATTAAAACTTTTATTTATATTGAGATCTAAGACTTTCGCGAGTATTCATTTAAGTGAAATTAATATTTTTCGGTTATACTACGCGACATTTATTTCACATCTCGTCTGAATGATCACGGTTGCTGTAAAGTAACCGAAACGTCGGGAGTATGTAGTTTACAAAAATAAAGCACGCGTAGTACATCCGAAAAATATTAATTTCATTCTATTTAAATTAATTGTGAGTACAAATATGTTATATATTATAAGCGATTTTTCAATATGAAAGGTGGCACATGAAGAGAAGGCCTACTTGATGGGCAGTAGTGATCATCGCTCACGGAGGAAAAGGGAGGGAACTAAAAAAGGGCAACCGTCTCTCTCACTCATCAGACGAAAAACCATTAATGGAATACTTCACGGCGATCTTCTGTGAGAGGGTGGTACTTCCCCGGTCGAGTCAGAACATGTTCGAGCTGTAGTAACTTGACCACAGCTAGGCTCTTTCACCTATATATGTGTATGTGTGTGTGTGTGTGTGTGTGTATGTGTGTCCGTCCCTCACCCGCACTACGTTGTATCTCGTGAAGTTTCCGCCCGCGTGGTCCCTGTGCGTCCTCACGGAGGCCTGCATCTCTCTCTCCAACACTTCGTACTCTCCCTCCGCGCCGCCCTCACTCTCCGGCACACACTCTCCGCCGCTGGGAGACACCTCTACTAGGGTTGTACCACCGTACCACTCTATAGAACAAATACAAATTATATTTTACTATCTTTCCACCCGCAGCTTCGCCCGCGTGGAGTTCGGTTATATAAGAGAACCTTTCTAAAGTCTGGTATAAAAACTATTCTATGTTCTTCTCAAGGTCAACTCTATGTCTGTATCAAATTTCATTAAAATCAGTTCAGTGGTTTAGGCGTGAAAGCGTAACAGACAGTTACTTTCGCATTTATAATATTAGTAGCGATATACACTATAAAGTAGTAATATTATCAAAGTAATACTTCTTTTGCAACTTCTAACAAATTTAAACGTTTAACGCTCTTTAGCGAGAGAGAATGCGTGTACTTCAAATTCATGAGGGCAATCAATTGTGACTTAACAGAAATCTTAATAAAGTTCATTAACAATCAATTTCCATCCCTTCCATTCATTCCAACATTACGTAGTTCCAGTTTCACAACATATATCTATCTCTATCCTACTAATATTATAATTGCGAAAGTTAGTGAGTGTGTGTGTAACGTACACACACACTCACTAACTTGTTACTTCTTCACGCTCAAACTGCTGAACCGATTCTGATAAAATTTCGTATACAGGAAGCTGACGTCCAGGAATGACACATAGGCTACTTTACATCCCGGAAATCGGGTAACACCGCGGGGTGCAGTTAGTATATATCAACATCAGCCAAAAAACGTCCACTGCAGGACATAGGCCTCCCCCAAGGATCTCCACGACGACCGGTCATAGTCTATATATATATATATATTTCTCTCTCTCTCTCTCTCTCACCCGTCCCCCTCGCCCCCTGCCTCGCGGCCTTCATCAATCGGTGCCGGTGTCCATAAGCCGCTACCCCGACCGCCCGTAGATCTTCGTGTGACATTTCCGACAATATGTCAACAGTAATTTGTTCTCGCTCCAGAACTGACGCTAGCTGTTCCAGGCCAATGCTGGAAAGAGATAGGATTAGGTTAATATTTTATTTTATTTATTAAGACAAAGACAACAGGTTACATCACATAGAGAATATTTCTTAAACATTAATAGTATCGAACAGATTGTAACCAAGGGTGCATGCACAAAAAAATATAATACAGGGGATAACTGTGTATTAAGTAAACAATAACAACAGTAGGTATATCAAGAACATAATAAAATTAAATTATATATGTAGACTATACAAAAAAAGACAAAAATAAAATATTAAAAGTGATATTCAATGAAGTAGCACGAATAAAATTTACAAGAAGAAAATAAATAAATGGTATAATAAACAATTTTGATTTGAATTCACAAAAAAGACAAAAGACATATAATCGTTAATAATTCCAATTTCTTAAATTTACAAATTGCATTTTTAAAATAGACATTTTTTTTACAATTGATGGTAATAATTTACCATTATTATTTATAAATAATTTTCTTATTACCATAAACTTGTTTATGTTAAAATTTGTATCTCGATGTATAAATATATCGTCGTGTACGAGTATAGTGCAAATCCTCGTAACTACCATTGGATAATTCCACGTATCTACATTGGAAGCAAATCAGAAGAAAGTTTGAGCTGATATAATTTATATATTAACGACTTTTAATGTATTTTTTTTTACAATTAGTTATAAATTAAACACTAAATAATTATCGCACTATCCCACAAGATAGTATTAACGCAAGTATATACATATATACTAGAAGAGCCGGCGAACTTCGTATCGCCCTATAATCAAGAAATATCTGTTACGTTTTTTTATTTATATTTTTGGAGTTTACCTATTAAAGTCATAAATCTCCGTGTTTTGAAGTGCGACACAATGATTGACATATTAGTTAGTTGTCAAATCTAATGTGAAAAAAAAACGGTTGTATCAACAACTACTAATAAATTAAAAATTAATTAATAAAGAACTCTCAATATGCTCGTATTTAGTAAGTCGAACCAGTAATAGTAAGGGATTTATATCGTAGTAACTCACTTAGCGAGGAAGGCGTGTAGTGAATCAGCGGACAGAGCTGATGCGGGGCGACCGGCGGCTTCTTCTAGGGACCCGCGGGACCCTTCAGACCAGTAGTTACTACACAGGACCTGGGGAAGAAAGGTAAATCTGATTATATGTATGTATATAGACATATATATATAAATATATATATATATATATATATATATATATATATATATATATATATATATATATATATATATATATATATATATATATATATATATATATATATATATATATAAGATTTCCCGAAAAGAGGGTTGATGTCAGGCAGGCGGCCGGTCGTAAAAACAATTAGCCAAAACTATTCACAACATGTAAGGCAGACAATGGCTATAGCTGGGAAATTTACAGAAAGAAGAAGAAGATATACAGGGTGACTGGTGAATTACTATCGATATTTGAGGACGTGATATTTGACGATCATATATGACAAAATAAAAATTAATATAACATAAATATTAATAAACTTCTAAGTAAAGTTAACCAAAAGTTATGTAATTAATTACGCATCGTGTGAACACCCTACAGATTAGGTATACACTGACACTCACACATACGCGTGTCGTGACGTAATGTTGTATCAGCACGCCGCCGCACGCGTCCACACTTGAACACTTGGAACGTGTCAACTTACTTATTTATACGGAAATTTAGTCAAAAATTAAGTAACTATTTTTTTTACATACTTCGAATGAGAATCATGTACCGAGTATTCTCCTTAAATATTGATAGTAATTCACCAGTCACCCTGTATAATTGGAATTATTATCAAACAATGTGTAAAATCAAACAATGAACTGAATAAACAATGCAATAGATCGAATATTCTATCGGTATTGCCATGATTGGAAATTCAAATAGATAATTGTATTACAATGATTTTTTTTAATTTCATTGGACCTATAAAACATAATTTTCAATATAATCAATTATATCAATCATTATATATATTCACTGACCGAAAGTGGTCATAAAAGTGGTTATATATGATTATAACCTGGTAAACTGATATAATTTGGTTATATAATTTCAACACATCTACATCTCTTATGTAGCAGATGTCCATGGGTGATGGTAACTACCTTCTAAGTACACGGTCTGATTATTTGACGCCTTTGAGTAACACGAAAAATAGATATATATGTGATAATTGGAATTGTGGAATAATGTTTATACATGTGATTTATCTTTGAATTTATTTAACAATGAAAGGAGGTCAAATGGTCTGTCAGTTTTATCAGGATTGTAAAAAAAAGATATTCAACATTTTTAAAAAGAGAAATGTGATGATAATGACATTTTTATATCATTGGAGATATAAAACATAATTTTCAACATATATTAAATTATATAAATCAAAAAAAGAAATTCAATGACTGAAGGTTTTTGAAAAGAGAATTGTACAATGATAATGACATCATTTAATTTCATTGCACCTTGAAAACATAATTATGACTTAGTGATATAGTAATATATCAATCATCATTATATATATTCACTGACCGGTAATGGTAACGGGACTGTATCACCGCTGGGTAGTAAGACCGGCGCGTGCGGCGGCGGTAGCGGTGTGGGCGGGGCCTCGTGTGGCTCCGCCCCCGCGGATGCTCCGGCCCCGCCCGTCATGGCGTCCGTCAGCAGTGATCGTACGTCATCAGCACCAGCCAGCTCCAGTGCTGTTTGACCCTCCTGGTTCTTGAGGAACGGGTCAGCTCCGTGCGCCAACTGGATATATTTATTTTATATATATATATATAATTTAATAACACTCTTTTACGAGAGAGTTCGTAATGACGAAGATAGAAGTTAGAACGGAAATAAAAAGTTTAATATTGAAATTAGAATTCTATACAGTATATAAAAAATTAGACAATTCTTTGAAGTGAGACTTCCAAAACCCACCCTGGGTTAAACTGAAGGAGAGAGAAAAAAAGATGGACAAATTTAGAAATTAAAAGAGAGAAATAGTCGGTACATTCTAAGCACATACACGGTATTGTTTTTATACAGCGAAGTAAACAGTGTAAACGTCGTGACATTAACCAATATACATACTAATGTTCTATATTAATTTATATATATCATTCTTTCATTTGATACACCATAACTATAATTTATTCTCATTCAAACATCACGAAGCTCCACTTACATATATGCCCTTTTTTTCCACCCTTTCCTGACCTTTCCTTTTCCCTTCCTTTCCCATCTATTCCCCCTACTCCCCTAATCGAGAGTGGCAACACATTCTCAAACCTATATTGCGGATATCCATGTGCGACGGTACTATCTCAATCTTTTGGGCCATCTGCTCCCTTGCTCGCTTTAGCATAAAAAAACTTCTTCCTAACTGTCTCCAAACCCTACATACAAACCCAAATTATTTGATTTAATACATCATAACCATCATTCATTCCAACATCACAATCATCACTTCCTCTCTACCTATTAACATTAAAGAGTAATGTTTTTTCTATAACAGTATTAAATATCCTATATCCGTCTCCTTGTTCTAATCTATCTCTCCACCAATTTTCACTCATATTACTTCATTCGTTCTTAAGTTATGTATAGTGTAACTAACACGACTTTCTTTTATATAAATAGATATTATAAGCCCATAAGGTTGTCTGGTAGAAATCGCTACCTAGCGATAAGACCGCCTTATTGTGCATCTACTTTTATTTTGTATATATTTCATTTTTATTGTTAAATTTCTATGCTATTGTGGTGTACAATAAAGTATATTATTATTATTATTCTTTGAATTAATCCACCATAACTATAATCCATTCATTTTCACATCACTTATAATACATATAATACTAACAAGTAAAGCACACAGCTGAGTCCTAGCTTTATGCGCGGCCTCATGCAGCGGCGTGAAGCCCCATCTATCCGCGGCGTTCGGCGGAGTTCCCGCTTTCAGAAGTAACGCCGCCAGTTCCACGTGGCCGTACGACGCAGCGTTGTGGAGAGGCACCAGCCCGCCTTTATCACGAGCTGATACAGCAGCACCCGCTTCTAGAAGGGCCTCTGCTACTTCTAGATTGTTGTAGCCAGCTGGAAGATTATGATATGATATTATTATTATTATTTTATTACAATTATGTTGGTATTTTTACATTTATGTCCAAATTTTCACAGTGTCTCATAAACCAATATTAGTTTTTCCGTACACTGGAATTCATCGTCGTTAACTCACAATTACATTGACATCTCAATACATTTATATTTTGTACTTAATGTATTAAACAATAAAATACATCAAACCTATAATATAATGATACGAGTATGACAAAATAGAGTAATAAAATTAACTAAATATATGATGATTTATCAAGCAAAAACTTATACATGACTTGGATTTCTATATAAAATCCTTAAAAAGGACGAAAAGACACTTCAAAGTACATAAATATAAGTACAATTTATTAAATTGTATAAAGAAAAATATCTCACCAGCTAAATGTAGTGGAGTTGAATTCCTGCCGTGAGCATCTCTGCAGTTGACGTTTTGTGGAGTTATTAACTTCCTGTTGACAATATGAACATTATATTTTATATGTGACTAGCTTTCCGCTCACACTTCGCCCGCCTGGTGTTCGGTTATATCGCATCTCCAAGAGAACCTTTCAAAAGTCTGGGATAAAAACTATCCTATATTCTTTCTCAAGGTCAACTCTATCTCTGTACCATTCATTAAAATCAGTTCAGTGGTTTAGGCGTGAAAGCGTAACAGACAGACAGACAGAGTTACTTTCGCATTTATAATATTAGTAAAGATTATTCCCGAAAAAGAGGGTTGATATCATCCAGGCGGCCGGTCGTAAAAACAAATAGCCAAAACTATTCACAACATGTAAGGCAGACCCTGGCTAAAGCTGGGAAATTGCCAGGTAGAAGAAGAATATTAGTATGGATAGAGTCTTACACACACGCACACACACACACAGTTTGGGTGGTAGAGTCTAGCCGTAGTCAATTTACTACAGTCGAATATGTGCTGGCTCGACCGGGGAAGTATCACTCCCCCCCCCCCACAGATCGGTGTGAACTGGCCTTTTATGGTTGCGATTCGACCGATGAGTGAGACGGTAGCTTTTTCCCTATTCCATCCCTTTCTTGTTTTTTCCCTATTCGCACCCCTCCCTTTTCCTCAACAATCAAGGTTGGCAACTTGTGTGTCAAATATCCATGGGCGACGGTCACTTCCTTTCATCAAGTAGGCCAACTGCTCGTTTGCCACCTTTTACATAATATATAAATATATATGATTTATCTCACTTTGCTCTAGCCAGATCGCCTCTTTTAGCAGCATCTAATAGCGCGGCGTCTCCTCTAAGAGCATCAGCGGTGTCTCCATCACCAGGCCGCACTAACTGTAGAGGAGTCAGTCCGTCTCTGTTCCGCCTGGTCGGGTCAGCTCCGTGCTGGAATGAGATGGAGATATTACTATGTAGATTAGAATGGGGATTCCCAAAAATAGCTCCTTTTTTGTACAGTAATTTGTCTTAGATAAATGATATTACAAATCATCTCCCAGCGTCTATAAAACACCCCCTATTTTTCTATTACCGCCCTTTAGACCTGGATCAACCACAAGGGGGTGTTATTGCCCACTTTGGGAATTACTGATTTAGTTGATATGTGCCAATTATGTTGTTCACTTGAAATTAATTATTTATAACATATACAAGTAAATATATATAAGTTCTCCCCTAAATATGTTTAATATTTAAATCTCAGACTAATTCTATAATGAGATCTAAGATTTTCGCGAGTACTCATAAAAATGAAACTAATATTTTCGATTTTTTACTTCGCGTTTTTATTTTTGATTACGACATCTCGTCTGAATGATTACGGTTGCTGAAAATTAGCCGAAACGTCAGGAGTATGTAGTTAATAATCAAAAATAACAACGTAAAAATCCGAAAATATTAGTTTCATTCAGACTAATTCTTCTCTTAAGACATGTAATTCTCCTGCAATCTCTCGCCAAAAGAAACTATCAATCTCTCTCTCTCTCTCTCCTTACTAACCTTCAACAACAGCCGTACAATATCAGCCTTTCCTTTCGCAGCTGCTTCATGCAGCGGCGTGAACCTCCAGAGGTCAGCAGCGTTAACTCCTGCACCCGCAGATACCAGGAGTTCAGTGACCTCGTAGTGGCCATAGGAACAGGCGTTATGAAGTGGGACCAAACCTCTGGAATAAGGGACATTTTATGTATATTTATTAGTTTTGTGGCCCAAAGAGTTGTAAAAAATGATTTATAGGGAACACATGATAAATAAGTATTATAAAAACCAATATACAATGAAATTTCTTTGGTAAGGAGCAAGATTTGGGTGTTGTTTCCGATAGTAAGATTAAATTCCACACTTATATCGACAAAATACCATCACAGGCGTTTCAAAGATTTTAAGAAGTCACAGACCAAGATTGGCCTTTATTCTTCCTTGGTCCGATCTGGTCTAGAATATTGTGCTCAGGTTTGGTCTCCACACTATGAAGTCCACATCAAACGTATCGAGACGGCTCAAAAGCGTTTCCTATGGCACATTGCATATCAATGCAATAAGAAGAACATATCATAGTCGGTTAGAATACTTTGAGCTAAATAGCTTGCTCAATCGGAGACATTTATTGGACCAGATTTTGCTTCACAAAATCGTTAATGGCAAGTTAGACTGTCCTAACCTCATAAAAAAAATAATTTTAATGCGCCATCAAGGTTTCCCCGTGCGAGTAAATACGTTCCTTTTTCGATTCCACGCTCAAAAACGAATAAGGGCAGAATGCTATCATGAGTAGGCTACCTAGACAGTATAACCTACTTATGAAAAATCAAGTAATTGATATCGACATTTTTTCAGTCTGCCAAAATTGAAAAGCAAAGTTATAGCTAGTTTTAAATCGCCCAGTATAAATTATATATTAATTGTAAGTTGAAAATAATAAAATAAGGATCACATTCTAGTCCTTCAACATCGATCACGTTTATATTGTGTCGTTTAGGTTCTGTATTACAGTTGTTTGTTTGTTATGTTTGCTAAAAAAAAATATTATTATCTAAAAAAAAAAAGTTTCATTTTATTTATTTTTAATTTTTTAATTGTTTAGTAATAAGTTGGTAATTTGTTATTGTCTGTTGTAATTTACATTTTATATTGTATTATTATTGGTAGTATTTTTTGTGTCTCTTTTTGTATAATTGAAGTAGAAAAAAAAAGTTGTGTTAGGTTAATAGAAAATTCTGTCCTTTTCCATGCCTTGATAACTTTTAATTGAAACAACACTTAGCTAAAAATGTAATTAGCTTTATTTTAAAACCTATAAATGGTGTATGTTTTGTAAGTTGTCCTAATATAAATAAATAAATAAGATTTGAATCTGCTACCTCCAGAGTATAATCTTCTAATTACTTTGAAAGTAAACTATAGTGTTCTAGCTTGAATCTACAGATTTTATTAGCTTACTAATATTTTTTAGATACATTGTAAATATAATTTTTAAATCATCTAAAAGAGTATTATGCTAATTACATACCCTTTGTCTTTGGCGTGAACATCAGCTCCCCTCTGCAGCAGGAGTTGTGCTAGCGGCAGTCTATTGTATCTGGAAATAATATAGGAAAATATTAATATACATCGAAATAGAACATACAAGTAAGAGATAAGGACATATGAGGAGAGATAAAAGAGTTATGAACTCATCCCAAAAACATTTCAGAGAAGATTGGCTTTTAGTAGTCTTTGATGACTGCGTTTTGTCCGATGAGTAAGGGAGACGGTTGCCCTTTACCTTTTCTCAACCTTTCCTCTCACTCTCACAATCAAAGTTGTGTCCTGGAGGAAAGTAGCTACCACCATCAGATAGGTGCTTCTGCTCATTTTATTAAAAAAAAACTTAAGTGGAACACATACTTTTTCGTACACATCTCTATTCATCATCAAATTTAAATCCATCCCACTTTAATCAACTCCATCATTAGAATTAAGTCACACTAGACTCGACAAGTCTGTGAAAAACGAACGCTACACTCAGACTCAGTCTAAACCCAGGTAATGTCAACCAAAGACCACTACCCACCAACTGTTCCGTCATCCTATCCTTACCCCTTTTTTTTGGGGAGAAATCCGCTGACAGACTAACCACTTCTTGGCACGACAGTGGGATATATTTGGAGATTGCCTAGAGCCTGATAGTGTTGTCCCTAGGAATACATACAAAAACTCCCCGATTTCCCTTACTGCCCGTATTTGGGGGCGATTTGGGGGGTGCTAGAGCAATTCACCCCTCACCCAATCCTTACCCAGCTGCGAAATGAAGGGGTGTTGAGTGTCTTCCGTCCAGGTCTCTACAGTTAACGAGTCCAGGTCTTGAGTCCAGAATGTCACGAGCCGTGTCCACGTCACCTGTTCGAGCTGCTTCAAGAAGACGGAGAGCTGCGGCGTTTGTACAGGCGTCTGGAATATATAGATTAATAAAACCAGTATTTCTTTATAATGTCGACATTAACTATGAATATAGTAGAAACTCGATTAACCGGACTAATTGTTGTCGATAGGCATTCGGATAATCGAAAATCCAGATAATAGAATGTATAGAAAAAAGCCGGTTTTGTGCATATGTAGTATTAAGTTTATTTAAAAAAGTAACAAATACATATCAACGAAAAAAACGTTTATTAATAAATAATTAAAGGATACATTTTTTACATTACATATATGTACATACATCCACATGTTACATGTATCTACTAAAAACTGCAGATTTTAATAATGAAATAAAATAATAAGTATAATTTGGTTTAGAATATTAGGTAATTATCATTTGACGTACGTCACTCTCATACGCTTTACCATTCTTTCTTGTCCGTAGTCCGGATAATCGCGAATCCGTATAACTGAGGGCCGGATAATCGAGTTTTTACTGTGTTATATGTGATATTTTTCTTTTTATTTCTCATTTTATAGAGTTATGCTCATGAAGATTTTTTTGTAATTGTCTTATTAATGTCAAAAAAGTGTATAAGTTTCAATGATTTGTATTGTTTTTGTATACCGAGGAATATTCTGGTTATGTGTGTGTGTGACGTCTATGTGTGCATATTATCTGTATTTCTTATTATGTCTATGTGTTTTATTCATGTTTTATTGTGTTAGTTAGCACGTCATGTTTGGATCTTTGAACATATGCATGTATGTATTCAGTGACATTAATAATAATAATAATTTATTAACACCCATGAAATAATGTACATAATTTGTTTTTTAGCTTAATAACTAAATCTAGGGTTATTACATTGTCATCTTTTGTAGTAGACCGCTGACTCTAAAACTAATATAAATTGTGATATTAGAGTCAGCGATTCCTCAACAATTAATTGCGCACTAGATTTTTAGAAACGGAATAATAATAATATAAATATAATGTGACAATATCTTCTCGTATTTATGTGTGCTTGTAATTCATATATCTGTGTGTGTTATTATTGATGTTTTTATTATATCAATGTGCGTGTCGTGTATGGATCTTTGTATGTATGTGTTTGTGTTATGTATGGCTCTCCGTGTGTGTGTGTGTGTATGAATGTATGTGTGTGTGTGTGTGTGTACTAACCATCATTATCACAAGTGTTATCATGTTCCGTGTCATGCGCGCCACACGCCAGCAGCAGCCTACACGCGGCGGGCGAGTCCCTCCTGGCAGCGACAGCTAGCGCGCTCTCACCACGACCGTCACACGCGTTCACTTTAGCTCCTGGAATGGAATTATTATCATAATATTATTAATAAATATTAAATACGATGGGTTATCATGGATACGATAAGGATAGGATGTTAAAAAATTTATAATAATCTCTATGACGTAACTTCTATTTATAAATTCTAAAGTACATAGAGTTTTTAATACAATAGCTTAGTAGGTAAAGCAACTGAAATGATGTATCAAGTCGGTCGTAGGTTTGAATCGATGATTATCTTTGGATATTTTTCTTTTCTAATGGGGTTAGGTAGAGAAAGATTTGAATCCTGAATCGATGATTATCTTTGAATATTTTTCGTCTCAAATTTGATAGAAAGGTGAGCGTTTAACGCGTTAGATAGAAGCCCCTTAAACCTACACCTGGGTCGCAAGTCCCAGTCACTGTTGAAGCTCCTCTCTACAACGATGGACCCGACACACGCACCGTGAATACATGGAATGATGAGAGGTTTCGTCTTATCTATTATTTATTTTGATCGTCATGGATCGACGTGTCCTAGAGGTTAAAGGCTCGCCTCTCATGCATGAGGGCGCAGGTTCAATCCTGGCAAGTACCAATATGATTTTTCCTAGTCATATGTACTTTATAAGAGTATTTAGACACAACTGACTGATGAAGGAAAACATCTTGAGGAAACCTGGGTTTATAATTTCAAATTATAAGTTTGAAATCACCAACCCGTCTTGAGCGAGTGGTGATTAATGCTCAAACCTTCTCCACGTGAGAAGAGGCTCAGCAGTGGGCTCTGATAGGATGATGATGATGATAGTTATTTTTATTATATAATATACTAACCATGCCTCAATAATAAATCCATAGCGTCTAAGTGTGAGTTCTCAGTCGCTATATGTAGTGGCGTCTGTCCGTCTTTATTCTTTTCGTTAACTCGCGCCCCTTTTCTTATTAACATCTCCATTACCTGAACAGGAAATATATTAATTACATAGTAAAAATACTACTAATATTATAATTGCGAAAGTTTGTGAGAGTGTGTGTATGTTTGTTACTTCTTCACGCTCAAACGGCTGAACGGATTTTGATGAAATTTTATACACAGGAAGCTGACGTCCAGGAATAACACATAGGCTACTTTACATTCCGGAAATCCGCGGGTGACACCGCGGGGCGCAGCTAGTGTGTGTATATTTATGTGTATGTGTGTGTGTGTAAAAGAGTATTTATGCCTTCAAGTGCAAAAATGAGACAATGTGTGTGTATTTATTTATGTGTGTGTCAGTATATTTGTGTATTTGTATAGCTGAATGTAGCAATATGTATAAATACATGTAAGATATTTGGCCATAGTTTTCATGAAATTTTAAAAACTGTACAAATATAATCTGTATACGCTGTTGATTATAGATAAATAAATAAATATTAGTAGGGTAGTACATACCTGTTTCCTCTTAGGGTACACACTAGCCGCTGCACAGTGTAGAGGTCTGTCTCCGGTGGCTTGATGCTGAAAGTTGGCTAGCTCGGTGATCCTCTCAACACTTGGGGATGGGGAGCATAGGGGAGGCAGTTCCTGGGGATAAACATATGTATGTATACAAGTTTATATTCTAAGCTAATTAATATTCTAAGCTAATTGAATGGTCGATGAAAATAATCAGGAATTTAGGATATATACAGGGTGACTGGTGAATTACTATCAATATTTAAGGAGCATACTCGGTACATGATTCTCATTCGAATTATGTAAAAAAAATAGGTACTTAATTTTTGACCAAATTTCCGTATAAATAAATAAAGTTTGGACACGTACTCAACCTTGCCGGCGCCAGTGTGTCGCTACTCCCCAACCCCCGCCCCGTGGCTAGCGGGCCATTAGTCGGCTATTAGTCGCGCGAGCGCCGCCGTAAGGTCCGTACGTTCGTCTTCCCGCGCGCGCGCCTAGCGATCTATCTTACGCGTATACCTAATAATAATCTGTCGTGTGTGCGTGTGACCCGTTATTACTTATTAGTAATTAAATATGGCTTTTCAATACACAAATGCAGAATACTTGGACATGGTTCATGCGTATGCGCGTGCAAATGATAGCTTGCCGGGCGCAATCAATTTGTACCGGGAGATGTTCCCCAATCGTCGAGTACCTACGGCCAGCGTCATCTTAAACGCTAATCAAAGATTACGAGACTTCGGACAGTTCCGTGTTCCAACACATGCCCAAGGAAACGTCTTGTGTATGCTACAATGTATGTCAACAGAGAGGAGTTGAAATTAAAAATCAATAGTGCTTTCGAAACTATTAAAAGTGACCCATTCGTATTAAATCGTGTGAAAGACAATATGTGTAAACGTGCCGAACTGTGTATCACACGAGAAGGAGCTCGCTTTGAACATTTGTTAAGGTTAGTGTAGTTATGTAGGTAAATAGGTAGTTTAATGATTGACAATTGTTGTAAATTAGAATGATTCCATTTTTAAATACGCCGGAAATACCAAGATAGGTAAACAGTTCATATTATTTTTCGTGTCAAGGTCACACCATTTACCTAGTCAATAAATTGGTTGCTTAAACGAAAGAAATATCTTGGTATTTTTGCCTGTCCCAAGCCAGGATTAAAGTATGAAGGGAATTGGATCATTTTTGTTTATCTAAGGTCTAACACGCGGCGGCGCGCGGCGTTTGGGTGTAGGTAAACTACCGCGCGATAACTACATATACCTACGTTCATAACTGTTTTGTGTCGATAACGCAGCTAGGGTATCCACGCGATCCGTAATTAATTACATAACTTTTGGTTAACTTTACTTAGAAGTTTATTAATATTTATGTTATATTAATTTTTATTTTGTCATATATGATCGTCAACTACCACGTCCTTAAATATTGATAGTAATTCACCAGTCACCCTGTATAATATCCTCCTAATATTATAATTGCGAAAGTTTGTGAGTGTGTGTGTATGTTTGTTACTTCTTCACGCTCAAACGGCTGAACCGATTTTGATAAAATTTTGTATACAGGAAGCTGACGTCCAGGAATAACACATAGGCTACTTTATATCCCGGAAATCAGCGCGTAACACCGCGGGGCGCAGCTAGTATTCAATATAAGCCATCTCTCCACCAATGTTCAACTATATCCCTACAGCCGTTCTTGAGTTATAAATAGTGTAACTAACACGACTTTCTTTTATATATAAACTGGATATCATTATTCTTCTAGTTTTTGCTATGATCGATCAACAAAGTAGGACTTTTCATATACTCTACATATTGAAACGTTTTATTTTAAATGGAATCCTTTGTAATATTCAATATGTAATGTACAATTCTAGAACTATCTATACAGGTATACGAAATTCCTTGAGATTTTAATAAAACTAATAGAAATTTTCAAAGTAAAATTCTGTTTAAGAATATTCTACTACTTACCGGTTGTGTCACACATGTTAGATGTTTCTTCACCCTTGCCGGATCAGCCAGTCTGCAAGCTTCAAGCAGACACTGGCCTCGGTACTCCACTGATGAAAATAAACATAATATATATATTATTGGTAAAAAAATAACAAAAATACTTAGTATCATATATGTATATGTTTAATATTATTTTATAAATGGCATAGAATGAAATATTGTTTACAAAATTTATCTTGATTCGTTGGACTTACAAACTAGTAGCAATTTTACTTTGTTTATCGTTTTTTCATATTAAACTTAGAATTCTGTTTTAATAATAATGAAATTCTTTGTTATAAATTTACATAATAATGACAACAACGAATTATCACCTTCCCATATATCGATGGCTCCTATGTATAAGGGCCAATGTGCAAAATGTAAATTTTTCAGTAGAGTTGTTTTAAGTTTGATTTCAATGTATCTTGTACATACAACTGATGCTTTTGAAACTTTGGATAGCAACTATGACATACATGTACGTCATTTAAGATTGATAAACTTTTTTGTAAACCTACTAGTTTCTTAAATACATGTATTTTTTATAATAAACATAATATAAGCCTCTTATACATTAAAACTTGTGTTATTTATGCTTTTTTACTGCACTAAAAAATAAGTCTTTCAAGCAACAAATGCACATTTTTTTATGGATGTTGTAGAATACATTATTATAAAGTGTTTAAAGTAAAAACATGAAAATGGTTAAATTGCTACATTGTTCCCATTGATATGTACAAAATTATTCTAAACCAACTAATTGCTCACTAAAAATGGTCAGGCATTTTAAATATAAATATATATAATGTATTATAGTCGATAATTATGAGGTATATATACTAACATGCTAGTCTCTCTCTGATTTGAGGTCCGGGCGCCACGTCAAGAGCTGACTTTCCGTGACAATTGACAAGCGTTGGATCAGCACCGGAACTCAACAGCAACGAACAGACCTGGGTGATAATGTATGTATTATTATGTTATCAACAATAATGAGATTTAAATGACACTTATTATATTACAATGAGCATACACTGAGATTTTTGATAGGGTGAGCAGAAAATGTTTGAAAAAGAAAATACCAATTTTAATCATAATTTCCTCCTCTAAAACATTGATAATAATTAGATGTAAGACTTTCGCGAGTATTCATTTACATGAAACTAATATTTCGGATTACTACGCGTGTTTTATTATTTTTAAGCACACATAATGCCTGCCTGTGATAGCTGTTGCTGTAAAGTAACAGAAACGTCGAGAGTATGTAGTTTAAAATGATAAAATACGTGTAGTAATAAAAAAATAATATTTGTTGTCCACTTTATACTGATTTTATTTAAAATGATGATTAAATTTTTGAGAAATATTGTTATGGGCTCTATATGTTTGGTAAGTCTATTGAACTAATAAAAGATAACTTGTATATATATATAAATATAAAATCAAAAGAAATTAAATGACAAATATAATTAGATAAACGATATATGAGAAATTTTATTAGGTATAACGATTTCAGTAGATTTATATATGTATGAATATTATATTTTTCACATCCAACAGGATGTAACAAACAAGCAGACAAATAAATAAATCTGTGCATCTCAGCCATATACCTCATTACAAGCTAAAGATACCATTAAACCCTTACTCTGGTGTGGCATTTAAGTGCCATGGCAATAAAAAATGCCATTATTTGGCCACGATCAGAACACATACCTCCAACCGGGCCTTGCTGGCAGCTTCATGTAAGGGAGTGAAGGCCCACAGATCCGTGGCATTCACATCGGCACCAGCTCGAACTAATAACTCAGTGACTTCGTAGTGGCCATAGGAACAGGCATTATGAAGTGGAACCAGACCTCTGGAATATACAGGTATATATTTAGCAGCACATAATAGCTAGAATATACAGGTCTTGATATTTAACAGCACATAATAGCTTGTATATATAAGTCTTGATATATGAGCAGCACATAATAGCTTGACTTGCAGCTTAAATGTAGTTTTTATGATATAATAATTTTAATATTTACATTATGTAAGTATATTCGGCTTATATTTGTAGTAGCTTTCTTTGAAAACATCTTAATATATTAATGAATGGACATATTTAAATTATATTTGCTGATGAAACTAAATATTGGCAAATCAACTTTCACATTATATGTGATCTAAGATTTTATTTAAAATATATGCTAAAATATATGTATATATATAGCTGGCTAAGCGTAAGTCAGATTTGACCAAAAACGTTTCCACAAAGGAGGTTAGGTTAGTATTTAATATATTCTATTTTTGTTAATATAAGTTCAATACATTTTAATTTTTTTTTTATCTACTAATCAGTGAAATAACAGATACAAAATAATATACAAAGATACAATGATTTCTGCCCTATAGAGATTGTTACCAACCATACATAGGACTAGTGAAATGAGACGAAACCTCTCATCATTCAATGTATTCATATGCGTGTGTCGTGTCTATCGTTGTAGTGAGAGCTACAACAGTGACTGGGACTTGTGACCCAGGTGTAGGTTTAAGTCCCTATCTAACGCGTAGCTAACCTAAGTCGTTAGTTTTAGTATTTTGTCAATTTTACTTATAATATCTAAATTTTGTGTCAACTTTTTGGGTTTTTCGTATGACGACCTATATATTTCGTATTTAAACGCCAAACGAGCGATAAAGATTGTGTTCAACAGGTGTGCTCACTTCCACCATAGTTTTAGCCTTATATACCTAATTTTTTTTCCATAACTCACCCCTTATCTTTGGCGTGAACATCAGCACCTCGCTGCAGAAGTAGTCTTACAGCCCTCGCCCTATTATATCCAGCTGCCAGGTGTAAAGCCGTTGAACGTCTACCGTCACTCGCGTGAACATTCACGTTGAGAGGAGTCAGGAGTGAGGCGAGGCGGTCATCAGCGCCAGAACGAGCTGCTTCTAACACATCTGATGCACAGTACTCGCCTGGAAAGTGTGTTAGTGTTTATTATAATTGGTGATGAAAATTATGATCATCAGATATTAAATAGTAGTTAGTCATAATGAGAATTTAATTCTTGGTAAAATATTTGATTGGTAAAATTGAGAGAAGAAGCCTATTTTATGAGCAATAGTCACAATCGACCATGGATATGAGTAACATAAGAAATGTTGTACATGCGTTGGCGATCTTGGTTGTTAATGGAGGAAAAGGTGGGTACAGGGAAGGATAATTTTTGATTATTACCAAAATATAAAAAAGTCTGTAAATATGTATCTTGTTTTGTCTCTAAAATTATGGACATTGAATTTTAATCAATATTTTATTCTGGATGTTGGTACAGATTTCTTTAACCAACCTGTTAAAACCGGTTTGGTTGCTGGGTCAGCTAAATCCAACGGTGTCTTGCCTTCCGTGTTCCGTATGTTTGGATCAGCGCCGTGCTGGAGAAGTGCTGGAAAAATAAACCAAAGATGATTCAAAGACCTGGAGTTAGAAAGAAATTCAGTAGGATCCACCAAACCATTCTCCACCAAAAAGAAACAGTACAAAAATGAGCTTTACTCACCTATACAGACGTCGACTTTTCCTTTAGCAGCGGCCTCGTGGAGTGGCGTGTAACCCCAATTGTCTCTGGCCGCCGGCGGAGCCCCGGCCGCCAGCAGAGCCCTAACCACATCCGCGTGCCCGAAGGAACACGCGTTGTGTAGAGGCTGCAGGCCTCCTTCATCACGAGCCTGGAGCGCCGCCCCACCGGCTATAAGGATCTCTACTACTTCTCTGCGGCCATAACCTTGAATACACATATTATATGGCATAACTATATTTCCGATATTGCTCTTTATAGTGGCCATCTTGACGCTAAAATTGTGACAAATAAACATTTCTCTTATCACGAGTTTGTAAAAAATACTAAATGCAAAGAGTTTTCAGTATCATATATGTATACATTTAACAGTGATTGTATTAAGGTAAAAATAAGATTTAAACAAAATTGTATTACTAATAATGACAATGTATGAAGAAATTTACTTTGGATTTCTGTAGACTAGTAGTTATACTATGTATATTTGCATAATTAGCTTTTGAACATTATGGAATGATCTATTATTTAAATTAGAAGATGTAGAATGAAAATTTATTGAAACAAACGGGACTTGAACCCAAAACCACTAAAATATTGTCCAGTATAAAGCTGGTTCACCATATAGAAATTAAATTAAAATTTTACCATTATATGTATATACATGGATATATAGATATACAATATACATTGGACCCCCCGTTAACCCGGCACTCCCTGTAATCCGACATGATCTATTATTTATTATTGAATACATATTTTGTATTCGCTAATGCATGATTGAACAAGATACAGCTTGTACGCACCATCACTACATATTGTGCTCGACGCGTAGGCTATTGTTTTGATTCTGATTGCTTAGTTGGAATTTGAATTTGTACTTCAGAGTACATATAATGTAACTAATCTTATCATTGAATCTGTAATCTGTCGGATTACAAGGTACTTTTTTGTAAAAAAATCTGGACTATAGGGGGTCTTAGGCAGTACTCTATAATTCAACGAGTTCCATAGTTCAACACTGCTCTGCAAAACGTTTGTTTAACTACCGGGGTCCACTATATATAGCTATGGCTGGAAATATTTTTAATATTTTTCATACTTTTTATATAGAACTTTCAATCTTGCATTACATTTAAATATTGAGAATAAAAGTAATTTGTTTTTTATTAAAATTATATAACACTAGTATTTGTGTCTTACTTTGTCTGTATGAATTTTTAAATGGACAAAATATATGAAGTGTTTTTGAACAATATATTTTAGGGTACTAGAAAACCACAAACAAGCGATCAGTAGGTTTTGTGAGAGAAGGCACCAGGGCTATAAAATCAAACGTCAAGCCTTACTCTATCCTTAAAGTGGCTTCGGATTGGACTATCTTTTCCTATTCTGATGTCTTAACTATAACTTATAAAAACCTATTTAGTTTCTAAACCAGATTAAATAGTATAGTTCAAACAGTTATGACAATGTAAATGTGATCACGGTTTCTGTAAAGTAATTGAAACATCGGGAGTATGTAGTTGAAAAAGTACAAAATGCATAGTACATTGCAAAATATCTGAAAATTAGTTTCATTTAAATGTAATTTGATTTCCAAAGTACTTTCAAAATCATTATTATAAAAGATTAAAAGGTATGATGTGAATTAAATGATTTCCGATATCAGTAGGTCGTTAAGTTTTTATGTTATGTGTAAAAACATATACTTCGACCATAATTGTAATATTAAATAAGTATAATTATATATTATATTTCTATATTTATGGGAAAAAATATTTAAGAGAATATAGCAATATTATATTATTAATATTAAAATATAAATATAATTTCGAAAAATGAAAGTGCTACATAAGATTTTGGAAATTTTTATTAAACAATATATGTAGTCCTATCTTCGATTATATGTAAGGAAGGTTTTTTTTTTGAAAACTTAATATTGATAAAATTAAATATAAATGCTTTTTAATTAATAAAAGTGCTCTAAAATGAAAATCAAGGAAATGATAGTTATTATCGTTACATAAACGAAATATTACGAGTAACGAGATAAATCACGGCATTTGGTAGCCGTGACAAATTATGCAATTAACAAAAACCTTTCACTGGCTTTGTTTTGGCAATTTATTTTCGTTCACCTATATAAAGTATTGTTCAACTATATTTACCGGCAGCAAAGTGTAGAGGGGTCGACTTCCGTCCAGCCGTGTCCCTCGCGTTAACTGATTGTGGTGTAATCAATTTTTTAACCCTCGCTACATCTCCTATTTTACAGGCCTCGAATAATTCCCGTAGAGGATCTATAGTAGCGGGTAGCGTATCCAGCGCTGACCCTAACATTGAACGACGGCTCGTCATTTTCGTTTATCACATTTAGCTTTGTTACTGCACATTACAGTTTCATTATAGTAAATATACAAAGTATGTAGTGAAAACACGTAAAAATACAGCTGCTTCTATAAAGTTTGACAACACTATTGTTGCCACTCGCACAAAACTAGTTTACAATTCGCATTTATGTAAGAGATAAATTCAAGGACAATTTGAAGATACATAAAATATTTTTTTTGATATATGTTTGGATTGTATATATATTTGATATTATTGTCCTTTCTAGTTTTTCATAGTAGAATAAAGTAGAATAGGAAAATTCAATGATATAATTTTAGTTATAAGAATATATAAATATGTTATTAATACGAACAAAACTTTTGAAAAATTGGCAACAATTAAGAAATAAATTTTTCAATGCAAAATTAATAAAAGATATCATTTGCAGCTATAAATAGATTCATAATAAAATTAAACTTCGTTTTTCTAAATATTGTAATTATAATAACGTGACATATAAATCTGCAATTTTTTGTCTATGAACCGTAGTTGACGAAATCAAAATGGCGTCTTTCACTGTATAGTGCATTTATCCGCCGCACACGGGATACTTTTGTAAAATTACAGTGATTCGATTTTCGCTTGTGCTAAAACTGTTTGTGTTTTGATATACAGTGCTGTGATTTATTAATATCGAGATACATATGGACTATCATATCGATAATTTAACCGAGTTTCCGCAAGGTATGCTCCTTTCACTCATTATATATTGTAAATTTTATCAATAAATTATCTATTTTGCTTGTAACGTGTGTAAAAATACGGCGACAATCGTATTTTATGTATTAAATTATGTGGTATGTAGTACGGAAGCTGTTTTGGTTGGGACAGTGGGTAAGTCAACTACAGGTTTCTTAGAGGTCTTTATAGGCGAGGCTAGGTCAAATCTTCACTTTTAATATCGTTATATAGCTGAACGTCCCATTAACGTGTTGGCGACACGGTGCCATATGAGTCGTCACTCCTAACTAATTTAATTAAAGCCACACATAAATTTCACTTCAAACTATTACCAGTTACATACGTGCGTAGTATTTTTAATATAAATATCTTTAATCAGATCATGACGAATAATTCTAATATAATATATACCATGTTTTAATATGTATGGCTATATTATTTACAATGAAGCCATTATAAGTCAATTAATTTTAATTAAAAGCCATTATACTTACGATACCTACATGTATCGCGACATTCCTGACATTTTAATATATATAAACTAAATACGAGATTAAATTACTTAATCATTAGAAAATTTGAAATCTAAAATCTTGTATAATATATTATTTTACGTATATATATTATAATCGTGTGATGAATAAAAATGTGTGTTATCTTATCTGCGATGTGATAAGCCATCTCACTTTATCACACACTCAGAGAAACTGTGGGTTGGGTGAAAACATTGCTAGGAATTTAACCTTGAAATAGGTAAACAAAATTTGTTTGAACATAGCTTCGGCAAGCTAATTGATTAAGATGTGTGCTATCTTGTGAAGTTTACACACACACACACACACACACATATACACACACACATGCATACATATATGTTAATTATACATTCATATATTGTATATATTATGTTCAAATCTATAGTTTTCTCATACACTGAATATTAAATTTGAAATCATCACATTTTTTGGGTGTATCTAAAAATCTTTTTCTTCTACCTGGCAATTTTCCCAGCTTTAGCCAGGGTCTGCCTTACATGTTGTGAATAGTTTTGGCTATTTTTTACAACCGGCCTCCTGCCTGACATTAAGCCTTTTTTTTTTGGGAATTTTGGGTGTATCTAAAAATTTGGCTTTGTAAATCATTTTTTGCAAATACAGCATATGTATCTGGATTTTCGTAATGATTAATTTGCATCGGCACTTACTGAGATGTCAGCAGTCCATTGTAGTATTTAGTATGAGCATCTTGTATCTATCTTATATTTGAACACAAGCAAATTCTTATGATTTAAGTATGCTTAATCTCCTTATCTACGACTATGGCACTCAAAATCAGTTCTTCATCAAACTACAAATAACTAATTTACCAGAAGATGATGGAATTAAAAATATATGACTAGACTGTGTCAAAGCTCGGCAGAATAATCAGCCTTTTGTTAGTTACTGATTTTGTAACCACAGTATACATAAGATATTTTTAAAAATTAAATAGAGAAGATCTCAAGCTAAAGAAAATGTTCATATCCAGTAAAAAAATCTTATATTTTTGAGTCCAATCAAAACAAACAAATATACTATTTTACACTTATATATATTAATGTTTCAATATTATATATGTTAATTCTGAAGCTCGAGTACCTCATAAATTATGTACCGATCACCCAAATCAGTTTAGCTTCTTAAATGTGCAAGTACATGTAAAAAAACAGAACCTCTCTAATCGTGGTTGGTTAAAAATTGATAAGCAAATAACACAATTATTTTTCATTTCATTGTAATCTTTATTCATGAGTTATATTTAAATTCTCATTATGTTTAATCAACGGCTGATATTCATGTAACTTATCAGTTATACAATATGAAATACAAACACACACACATATATATAAATCTATATATATAAAAATGAATTGCTGTTTGTTAGTCTCACTAAAACTCGAGAACGGCTAAACCGATTTGGCTAATTTTAGTCTTGAAATACTCCTGGAAGTCCAGGGAAGGTTTAAAAGTTGAGAAAAATTAGAAAAATTGCCGGGAAAACCCTAAAAACAGCCCTTTTCTATTTCCCATACAAAGGTTTTTTTGACATTAGATTTGACAATTAACTAATATGTCAATCATTCTGTTCGGGAAAAATTTTATAAATATCAATAATACCTGGTTATTTAAGACGGAATAGAGTTCGCCCGGTCAGCTATACATATATTACTAATGAAGAAATTAACGCGGACAAAGTCGCGGGCAAAAACTTGTGTATATATAAGTTTGTTTGTTAAACAATTTCTATTCATTTTTTTAAAGCCTTCAATACTCTCGGTTTGTCCTTAAAATGGTAAACTGAACCAAAGGTGTTAATTTGTCTCTTAATTGAAGGAAAGTAAGAGTTGAGCTTGTAGGCATATTCATTTTATTTAACTAATGTTTTAACATTTGATATGGAAACCAAATGTATGTGTGTATGTTTGTTACGGTGAAAATAATATCGGCTGTGCAGATTTTGATGTTACTTTGATGGGTGAAAAGTTTTAGCTATGAAGAAAGGTACATTTTGATTCTAATTTGTTTTCGGAAACTCGAACAATGATTTCGTGAATGAAATATGTGGCTGAAGTAGTTGGTACTTATTGTTTTACAATAAGCCTGTTAGAGGTCTAAAATATATTATTTATTGATATCAAAGAATAGATCCTGCGACTAAAAGGATGAGGTGTCTCAGTCGGTTTGCCAACTAAGCCATCGTGACCCTATACGAATTGGTGTGTGTGTGTCTTTACTTGATGTTAAACATAATCCCTACTAATATTATAAATGCGACAGTAACTCTGTCTGTCTGTTACGCTTTCACGCCTAAACCACTGAACTGATTTTAATGAATTTTGGTACAGACATAGAGTTGACCTTGAGAAAGAACATAGCATAGTTTTTATCCCAGACTTCTGAAAGGTTCTCTTGGAAACGCGATATAACCGAACTCTACGCGGGCGAAGCTGCGGGTGGAAAGCTAGTGACGTATATATTAAATTATTGGACTTGAAATAAACGATAGTATTCTTATATATAATTATTATATATTTTAAATTAATTAATTTTCTTTCCATCTTTCAATGAAAGTTTTTTTTTTTAAAAAGTAAAAGTAGTAAGTAAAAGAAAAATTCTATGTTAATGTTCTCGAACAATGTTCACGACTCGACAAATTCACGGCCTTAAGCTAATAAGGCTAATGTGTGTTTGTTTGTGTGAAAGTGTCTATCCGTTTGTCACCTCGTAACTCTGAAACCGGACGGATCAGCTGGTACGACACGTCAAATCTGACATAGTATACAGGGTGACTGGTGAATTACTATCGATACTTGAGGACGTGATATTTGACGATCATATATGACAAAATAAAAATTAATATAACATAAATATTAATAAACTTCTAAGTAAAGTTAACCAAAAGTTATGTAATTAATTACACATCGTGTGAACACCCTACAGATTAGGTATACACACACACGCGTTCGGCGGCGTGGTGTTGTATCAGCACGCCGCCGCACGCATCCACACTTGGAACGTGTCCACACTTTATTTATTTATACGGAAATTTGGTCAATAATTAAGTACCTATTTTTTTTACATAATGCGAATGAGAATCATGTACCGAGTATTCTTCTTAAATATTGATAGTAATTCACCAGTCACCCTGTATACTAGCTGACCCGAAAAATGTTGTTTTGCCATATAAAAATAGGGGTTGGTGATAAAAAACGTAAAATTTTTAGGTTGTATATATTTTTTAATACTACATTATAGAAAAAAAAAATTAAGGGTGTATAACTCTTATGACTTGGGAGTATGAAAAATAGATGTTGGCCGATTCTCAGACCTACTCAATATGCTCACAAAATTTCATCAAAATCGGTTCAACCGTTTCGTAGGAGTTCTCTGTCTAATACCGCGACACGAGAATTTTTTATATAAGATTGTAAATTTTGTTAATTCCAATGAAATTAATACATTTAATGTAATTTATTGTAACTTCATAAATTAATATTATTTAATTCGATTTCTCTGTAATGAATTTAAATTTTAAATGTATATTTTTATGATTTTTAATTTTACTATGAATTTTATAAATATTAGATTTATGTAATATTTTTGAAAGCTGCTGATAAATACACAAACATACATACATACAAAAATTATATAGAATCTCCAAAATTACTTATGGCCATACAAATCATCATCAGTCTATCAGAGCCCACTGCTGAACAAAGGGCTCTTCTCACATGGAGAAGGTTTGAG